TAAACCTGTACAATTGTCAACACTTCCTCCAACAAGTGTAGCAGCTCATCAACTTATAAATCGCGTCTGCTACCAGATTCAAACGTGGTTAGGGAATGACTTAGAACCTCAAAAATGGGGCTAGGTGCTTGAAAATGGAATCCTGGAGCCCATAAGAACGTTATTACCTCCAGCACCATCCGAACTACTAAATATAGTATTTTGCAATTACAAAAATGGTTGTGGTTCCTTCTGTGGATGCAGAAAATCAGGGCTACTGTGTTCTTTAGCTCGTGGCCAGTGCAATGGAAAAGCTTGCCTGAACGCTTCACTATATCCAAGTAATCCCGATGAAGAAAGCGCATACGATCCTGAAATTCTGGAAGGTTTGGAGATGAATATGACCGATAATGAGAATGATGACAATGAATTGAACGTTTTCGAGCGACAACAAGAAGAAGTCGACGAAGAACATGAAGATAACTAGCATCTATTTACAATTTTATTATAATTAAAACCAATAAAAATTCTTTTAATATTTAAACTAACATTTTAACAAATGTACATATAATATGGCATATTCAATGATAAATAAAGATAAGTATAAAATATATTCCCTTATTGTCGTTTTAACTAAAATATTAGGGTGTCCCATAAGTTTTTTCCGCGCTACGTTATGAATGAGTCTGACTGGCTACGCTTATATAAACATGCAGCTTATCTCTTAGCCGTTTATGGCATCGGTTTCAGTCGTCCCAGAGCTATTTCAAAGTACGTTTGGTTGGTGACAAAGCCTCTTTTTAAAAAAATCTGCCCCGTTCAATTTGGAGAACCAAAAGAAGCATTTACGGCATGTTATGCTTCATTGCTTTAAAAAAGGCAATAGTGCAAAGAACACTGCAGATGAGATTTTGCACCGTTTACGGGAGTGGTACTACGACCATTAGGACCGTCCGCAATTGGTTTAAGAAATTTAGAGCCGGCAAATTTGATTTGCAAGATGAAGACCGCAGCGGCCGCCCAGTAACGACGGATTCGGACCTTATCAAGACTGTGCTCTCTGAAAATCTGCGATATAGAGGATAAAACTAACATTCCCAAGACAACGGTATATAAGCATTTGATCAAGATGGGATATGCAAATCGGTATTAAGTTTGGGTTCCACACCTATTAACGGAGACCGGCCTTATGAACCGCGTCTCTACGTGCGATTTGCTTTTTCGTCGTGATGGTCGTGAGACAAAAATTATTACAGTTCGATTGGGACGTTCTACCTCATCCTCCGTACTCCCCAGACCTTGCTCCTTCCGATTATTACTTGTTCCTCTCCTTAAAAAAATATCTCCGTGGTAAATCTTTCAAATCCATAAGCGAAATAAAAACGCACACAGACGAATATTTTGCAAGTAAGCCTCAACAATTTTGGAAAGAGGGCATAATGAGGCTTCCTGAGAGATGGAAGAAGGTTATAGAATAGAACGGTTCATATATAATACAATAAATCAACCTCAAACAACAAATATCGTGTATTCATTTCGCATCAAAAAAAGGGAAGAAACTTATGGGACAACCTATGTATATATTTCAGAATTAATAACATACTACGGTTAAATTGTTGAAAATAAATAATTAAGTTACATACTTGTTTTAATAAAATATAAACAATTAATAATTAGTACATTAATAAGGGACATTGTTTAATAATTGTAATATTTTAATAAATAATTGACTTTATACGATGTACTGACAACCGTAACTCACGCTTGACATTGCATTGGACCATATATGACTGCGCGCTGCGCACTCTTCGCGCTCTACCTCAAAAACGGTTGAAGTGAAACAAAAATTGTAGAAAATTTTACACTCTACAACTTTTGTAATGGGTAAAAATATCATTTAAGCAATAGAAAGCGAGATATTCGCAAAAAAACAATTTTTATGACCTTTGACCGTCAATATCTTAAGACGCGGACACGATATCATTTGTGACTTTTGAGACAACATTTAGAACGACAAAACAAAGGTTTATACCAATTTACAGCTTATTATCTTTCATTCCGAGGTTGACCCCTAAAATGACTGGGCTACTAATGATTTGCCGTATTATCAGTTCAACAAATAAGATATATATTTAAAATACTTCCAAGATATTTTTCTTGACAGTAAAAATTGCAGTCATGTATTTAAGGTTAATTATCATCAATTTTGGAACCTATCTTCGGGTAGCCTACAACTTAATTTTAGGCCTTTTTAACTGATTGATTTCAAATTTATTATATTCTCGTATGTAGTTGATAACTCATGATTACTTATGTGACGTCATCATACATACAACGTGGTCGAAAGTTACATTGGAAGCCGGCATAGTTTTATTGTAAAGGTATCGATTTCGAGGGTTTGTTGAGACTAGCTCTAATAAAAGTTCGTTCTAAAAATTTTGGACAGTTATTCATTTTATTTATAGACGCCACATGACCGATTCACATGAAAAATATCAATACGTATTACGTTTAGTGACATTCATTCTAAAATCGGAGCAAGACATAACGGTCGTTCAACGTTTAATACATTTTAAGTACATTTGTACTGATCCGTTATTTATCGCACCATCGGCAGGTATTTTATTATATTTTACAGTAACATCCACAGTTTATAATAACTCAATATAATGCTATAAAAACAATTCGTTTTCCGACTTCATAGACGTACAATTATGTTTTTATAAATACAACCAGAATTCCTATGACTCATCGATGGGAGTCGTGAAAAAATTTGTTTTATCAAACGAGGAAAATAGTTTCATGTAAGCGTTAGAAAAATTCATTTTTTTATTCAAATTTTGGAATTTAGACCGCATTCGTGAATTTTAACGATTCCTAACAATATTGACTTAAATATTATCGTTTAAATTCATAAACATTGTATATTGCTGGGTGTTTCTTTAATTTTTGCAAGAACTGGGTAAAATATATATTTTATACATAATATATAATCGAAATACAGAATCATTAACTTTATTGCATTCCAAACTCACGTAGTAACTCCATTCATATGTACTCTATGTTTGAGTTTTATATTATACTAGCTTTCCGCCCGCAGCTTCGCCCTCGTGGAGTTCGGTTATATCGCGTTTCCAAGAGAACCTTTCAAAAGTCTGGGATATAAACTTAATATATTCTATGTTCTTACTCAAGGTCAACTCTATCTCTGTACCAAATTTCATTAAAATCAGTTCAGTGGTTTAGGCGTGAAAGCATAACAGACAGACAGACAGAGTTACTTTCACATTTATAATATTAGTAGGGATATCTCATAATATCTATAGCTATATCTCATACCAAAAAATAAAACAACAGCTTTATGTTATAATCATCTATTGAGCTTCAAGATATATAAATGTTCATGTAGATTTCCATCCTCAGTTATCACGGAAGAAGAGTTTACTTTTGTAAGAATAAGAAAGTAGTATTATTAAGTTCTAAAGCCCATAACATAGTATATTCCCATAATTTATTAATATAAAATTGATAGCGATGTTATATAAAAAATATATGGACCTACCTACTCCAAAAAAAATTGTTTATCAAAATAAACTTATTGAATTATTAAAACCATGTTCAAGTATGTATGCGTTTTACAAACCATTGCTTGGAAGTCTTTTTAAAGCCCAATCATTGGATTAGTTGATAATTTCGAACCTCCCAGTATCCTTAGAAAATAATTAAAAATAATTATTTTCTAAGGATACTGCTTAGAAAATAATTAAAATTGATCAAGCCAAAAGGAGGCATAAAATGTCATAGAAGATTATGGAAACTAAAGATTTATTCGGTATATGAAAGAATATTTTACATATGACTTTTTTCTGAACGCTGGTATCCATATGCATCTAAAGTTTAATAAAACGAATATGTTACAATGGTTCCGGTCTGTTAGGAATTAGGATTAAATAGAAATTTATTCAATCGATTTCAATGTAGGTTTTTTAGTATAATGCGATATTAGAATACTTATAACAAATCCTCGCATTCATTTACGATATAAATCACAATCGGCCTGTTCAATGTTAATATCAGAACATCCACATCTATTCAGATAACAAAAACCCAATAGAGTCAATGTAGCAACTTTAATAACATTGAAATAAGGACTATATTTCGGAAAGTTGTATAAATCTTCCGTCTCATTTTGTTCGTACTATGCAGAAAGGGTACAAAGACAATCATTATTTGCGGCCTCTCTGACTCATGGCTGGCCGGCAACGGGCAAGTAACAAAAACTGTGTGATGTTATTGAAAGTAGTGTGGTTATAAATGAAATACAACATTTAACCGAAATAAGTAATACTATTTGTTATAAATATCCGGATAAGTCTATTAAGGTAAGTGTTATATGTGTATCAGATTTTATTGAATAACGACAAAGTGTTTTCGTTAGTTTACGCGTGTTTGCATTGCGCCATTATTATTATATAGGTATTGACAGCATACGATTCGATTATCATAATTCGTGGTAAAGATAATAATTTTATTAAGATAACCTTTTTTTTGTTGAAATTCTTTGTCTTAAGTCGAATTATATATTCATGTGCATTAATAATTTCGTGTACGTATTAACAAATTTAAGCTAAATGAACCTTATGAAAGAACCTTTAATTTAATACTATAAAAACCATACTCTACGTGGTATAATATAAGTTGTATCGGTTATATTAAAAAACAAATTAACGTATTAGTTTTGTTCTATGGTGGTTTTATTTTGATATACTTACCCACTTATAACGTAGAATAGTGATACTGTTAAGTGGTTTAATAAGTGTGTTTTGATAGATATAAAATATTCTACATAACAGTAACAAAGTAGGATTGATCTAGGAGTACAATTGGTACGATAAAAGTTGTTTTTGTTTTAAATATAATGGTAAAAAGTAAAATTCCTTGCTAAAATAATCAATGGTTATTCTCTTCCGTTTCAAAACAATTTATTATACCACAATTATATATTTTTTCAGGTATCCATAATGGCTCCTCTGATAATCGAAGGTGAAACTTTAGGACAAATCCATCAAAAGTACAACAAAATAGTCAACGAGACAGATGAAACCAAAGAAACTGAAATTACCGATTTAAACTTCGAAGATTCCGATATCGATAATCTGTTTAAAATCGATAAAGCGAGCAAGAATCGGAATGTTGATTTTATTCTTAAAGTTCTGAAATGCCATGACATGCTTTACGTCACTAGAGCCATTAAGAAAAACACTTGGTTGGTCACCGAAGAACAATATGCTAATATCATAAATCCAGATCATTTGTTCAATGTCCTCAAACAACAGATGACAATGAAAGCCTTCAACAAACTTGTATTACATATAAGACTAAACCTCAAAGACGAAAAGCGTGTAGAAGAATTTTATAACTATTACAAAGACAGCGACCTGAAAACAGCAATGAAATGGCTGCCTCATTGTTCTAACTCATTCATAGAAAAGGTTTTAGAAAAGCACGCAAACGATTGCGAAATAAGTAATGATTTGATTAAAAGACTCTGCGAAAAATCCATGTCCTTCCTGGAAATCTACTGTCGCCACAATAAACAGTATTACAAGAGAGAAGCGTTGTTCCAAGCCATGTTCATCATGAAAACCGATGTCGATAAATATCTGGACATCATCGAAGCTATGCACGCTAATGACATGCCTTACTTCAAGGCCAAATATACAAAGATTTTAATGACAAAATGTCGAGAGCGTGTCATGAAAAATTTGGAAAGATACTCGAATTGCATCGATTTAGCTACATTTGCCAAATGTTTATCACAAGAGGAGGCACAAGATTTCATATTGAAAAATGTCAACAACAAAATACTCTGCGGCTCCTGGGGAGGGAATGATAAAGTGAAATACTTTTTAAGCAGACTGCCAACTGAGAATAGATTCGAATACATCAAAAAGATGTTCATTGACAAGCAATACAAGAAGGAAGTTTGCGACGATTTCGTCCCATACCGATGCGATCAAATGAATTGTCCTATTATGCCTAATTCAGGTACCTCACAAAATATATACTCCTGGTATGAATTTGCTCCCTTCAGTACTGCCTTCACGGATCTAAAGAAATTAATCCGAACGGAATCGAATCCGAGTGAGCGGATCGCGATCCTGTCAGTGATACTGACTACAGCTGGTCGTAATATGCAAAACATACACTCACTATTGAAATACTACAGAGAGAATCACATCAACGAGCCGTTTAAATTTAAATTACAGTTTATAAACACGGTGCTTCGCAAAACGAATGCTTACAAGTTCGACAAGAAAACTTGGCATTACTTGAAGGACATTTTCACCAGCATGGAGGTTTTCAGTGAAACAGATAAACATGTCCAATCATGCGTTATAACGGTGCTGTTGCATTGTATTATCAATGATGAAGAAGTACCTAAAGTTATAGAAGATAAATTTGAATTCGAAACATTGAGCAATTACAAAAATAATCTTACGAAAGAAGAGAACATTAAAGTATTCAACTATCTGTTCAATTATATGAATTCTAAGATACAAAATAAAGAAATAAAAACTGAAAAACAATTCCTTGAAACTTTTGGCAACGTCGAGTATATTATGAATTTGCTTAATGATTGGGATAAACATCTGAAAGATTATCCGTTGATACTCGAAAAGATTAAAGAACTGATTGATGTAAGACAAAAGAACACGGAATGGAATATAGACATTTCAAGTCTCTACCAAATACAAAAATCATGGAAAAAACTTCTTTTCAAAGAATCGCTGTTACTCTGTCCACAACAAGCAACTGTGGTTAATACTTTAAAGCATGACTCCAAGTTGGTGGAAGAGCATAGAGTTAAAATCAATGAACTATTAAAAGACAATACAAATTTGGATCCGTTTTTCAAAAAGCTTCGTATTTATTGGCCGCATTCCTTAGCGAAATCATTCAAGGAAATGCTTATGAATAACCTCAAACAAAATTATAACCATAAACCGTTTATGACGGGTCTATTTACTTTATTGCCACAAAAAGAGGTAACGGAAATTATAAAGGAATATGTTCCTTCGGAATCGAAAATTGATTGGAGCCAACATGACGAGGTGCAGCTAAATATTCGCAAGTTTCTAGGAATGTGCCTACACATTGCAAGACCCCAACCATCCCTAGAAATGGCGTTGCTGTACGCTAAAGGGGATTACTTACAATACGCGTTGCCATCCTTAAACGCTATACTTTACAACATGAGTAGTGCTGATGTAGAGAAGAATCTAGTTAAACTAGTCAACGCTCCGGTATCCTTACAAAAACACGGTATCCGAACAGCAATTCTGAAGCTCAAACACGACGACCTTAAGCAAATTTTATCTGATATTTGGAAATCAAATAAAAATAGCAGTATTAGAGCTGACATATTTGTGCAGAACTTTAATATGCTCTGTAAAGAAAGGAACGAGGACACTATAAAGAAAAAATGGGAATTACTTAAGATGTTCATAGAGAACTTAACAGCGGAGGAGGACAAAAAAATATATACTTGTCTGAGTAAATTTGAAGACGTTCCTATGTGTATAAGAGGTGATTTCTGGATGAAAGGTTATGCATTCCTGAGTTCTTTACCCGTAAAGGCGAACTGCGAAAGTTTAGTCGACCACATGATATACAGCATGACTGACATTATGGTACAGCTAGATGATGATTTCGTTGCGAGCATCTTCATGAATTCCTTTGAAAAAATGTTTAGTAAACAGTACTATCCTCATGCACAATTCGTCGCCAGCTTCCTTCTATCTACAAAAACCGAAGAGGCACAGATGTCTAGATATAAAAAACTCCTGTTACCAATGCTGGAACGTTCAATTACCGAGTGGGATAAACAACACGCTAAGGTTTACCACGTACGAAATAATACATACGAAATCATCAAATATCTGTCCGATAACTTTGATATAGTATTGAAAAATGACCTAGTCTTTCCTACTAAGACGTTCGACGAAATCTTAAAGTTTCTACAAAAGAATTTAACAGAGACGGAAAATTACATTTTGATAACCGTCCAAAAGATGGCTTTAAGATTCGTAAGTATTTTAGAAGAAGTTGTTAAGGAAGAAAAGAAAAAAGGTTCCATAACGTCCATAGCGTCTAGTGACTATGATGATCTGTTTAAAGAACTACGTAAAAATGTTGTGCACAAGTTCAGTGACCTCTGTCTACAACACCTTAAGGAGGACATAACTAAATATTTTCCATCAATTTATCTTCTTTTCTTAAAAGCTCTTAATCGAATATTAAGATACTACAAATATAGTGAAATGGAAAAATTAGAAACCTTAAAAGATTTTCTTTCTGACAAGGAATTCGTTGAAGGCCATATAGTCGTCCTGCAATCTCTACCAGATTATTTGAATGATGACGAACAAGCATTTAAAGAGACAATTCTTCAAACCATTAAAGATAATCCCAATAAGGAAATACAAATGCACTACTGGCTTCATACAAATTAGGTATCTCTGAGATACTATTTACTTTATATTATATATGTAACCTGTGTAAACTTTCATATTTTATCTGAAATAAAACTACTTTTCTCTATACTAATCAATATATGTATTACCTTTGTTTCAATTTATTCCTAATTTAGTACCAAACCATATCATATTTATGATAATTAGCAAAATTACATATTGATCATAATAAAATAATTTAAAATGTCAAAATACATGTAATTAAAAAACAGTATGTATAGCTATTGATGATAATAATTTATAAAAATCTTTCTATATAGCCTCTTATAATCTATTGGACATTTTAGTTTCTTTATATTTATTCAATAGTCATGGAAATACGGTTCAATGTCCTCCATAAAATAGTTTTGTTGAATACAATAAAAAATGGAATAATACTTTTTAGATAACAATTTTTTTGATAGTAAATAACTATACCGAATATTGATTCATTTATTTCATTAAAATTTAAAGGAGATGATGAACATTCTTGAATAATATTAATACTTTTAGGTGATGGTGAACTATCCTACCATGCTGGAAATCCTTTAAAAAATAATACCGATACAGATGGGTCTAATTGTTTGGAAAAAATGCATGTTATAAGTTTGAAATCTTCATAATATCCTTTAAATGACGCAACCTACTTGTCATACCCACATTATACGGGCGATTTGTTCTAAATATTGCAGAAAGTAATTATCTCTTTAGTTTGTTATATGTATCAAGGTTTTCCCGTATATTGATTTGGCGATAAATGATGTATATCCATTGATCTAAATACCAATGTATAAATGTTTCATTCACATCAAGTAAACCGATACCAAAGATAAACCAGATATTTTAATGAAAATAGTTTCTCAGAAAATTAGAAACAAGGATAAAATACTTTGAGTTATTTGTATGATTTTTTATAAGATAAATGATTTAAGTTAGCACTGGTATTCGGTACACTGAAAAATCTTAAAACGGCCTTAATTGAAATAAACATTATTTATCTTATCAGTTTTTAATTTTCATAACTTTTCACTGTTTAATTGTTTAAATTTTAAATAATTTCAATTGCATGTATTGAATTTAAAAATATATATATATTTAAAAAACTAATAGCACAAAACTATACACTTAAAACTTCTTCTTTAAATAAATTTCACATAAAAAAATATTACAGCAACATGATTAGAGTAAGATATCACATTTCCAATATTTAATTCAACCGTGTTAGATTATACATACTAATCTCTTTAGTAAAAGAGTAATATTATATAATCTTAAAAAACCTCGTAGTCCATTGTAACAACTTGTTTTGACGATAGTATATATTTGTAATATTTAAAATTGTATTACTTACAAAAGATGCTACAATAAGCCCATTTTTAAATACATATAGTAGCTTATTAAAATAACGCTTTTATTATAATTTCCGTGACTTAGACGCCTTTTAATTTTTATATCAACTCAGATCAGTAATTACGTTGCTATTTTGATTTAAATCAACGTTTGAAAACAATCACTACTAAAAACCAGACCAATCAAACACTGACAGAAACGCCTTAAAAAATAAAAACGCAATGACAATGATCATCACAAGTTACTTAGATAATTATTTTGTGTAAATTGGTACGTACTCCTTGTGCAGATTCTGCATCGTTGCAAAAAAAAAGCTTAAAACTACTATGAGTAGATCATCATATTGTAAAAGTTAAAAGTCTAATTTTATGGACATATTTTTTACATAGCTAACATTTTTTTCATTCATATATAACATATGATCTTTAGGTATGTATATGAATGTTACAAAGTATCGACAGTTATGATTCCTATCTTGGGGGCCAGCCGGGATCAAATGAAGCTTGAAATCTCTCTGATACTGTATTTCATGGGTATTGGATCTAGGTTGACCATGGCAGAGAGTGTTAACTTCACACTTCAATCATTCTTCGAGGGGCGAGTGAGTTTTAATGCCAAAAGCAGACTTGTTTTTTCAACGTCAAGAGAGGTTTATGCCCCTCGACCCTATTATTTCAGTTTTCCTTAGAATTCATCCAGGTGTCTTTTAAAACTTCGAGCAGTTCTTTAAGTCCAAGACTAAGGCTGCAAGTAAAGTCTATAGTCTCGAAAAATCGGTAGCCTCGTGAAGATAAGACTGCCCCACGCCTCAGAAGCTTTTTGGCTGTGAATGCTCAAGTCTGGTTTATGTGGAATACTTATTTCACATTTGAGGAAGTCCTGCTAAATGTAACCACCCAGCTTTGGACGCCATGGAGAAACGTGCAAAAAGGTAGATGCAAGGAGAATCTCGATCCCTTAATAAACAAGGAGAATCTCGATCCCATACTAAACAAATATATGAATATTTTACCTAATATGTAAACCTACAATAAATCGATTCTACTGTTAATTGTTAGATTTTGGTACGAGTTAAAAGTTATACAGAACTTTCCAGATATTAGTTAGTTTGAAATCACCAACCCGTCTTGATCAAGCGTGGTAAATGGTGATCAATGCTCAAATCTTCTCCATGTTAGAAGAGGCCGTTGCTCAGCAGTGGGCTCTGATAAGCTGATGATGAACCAATAGCTCCATTCCATCTAATTTAAGACTTGTGGCTTATATGTGATTTTGAGTAAAACACAACTTCACTTAATTTCTTAACAAATAATATAGTTTGTTTTATTCTGATATTTAGGCTAAAACCCTGGACGTTTCCAATAAATTCAGTCAGTTGATTTTTGTGGGCATTCAACGTCAGTGTTAATAATTTTCGTAAAGATATATATTTTTTTATTCAATGTTAACATGACTATTTTATGCACCGGTTAATAATTATAAAGAATAATTAGAGTATATTATTATTATTCTATTTATTTTATTTCAATTTTTACTTTTACCCATGTGTTCTAAAAACTATATATTTTTATTTTATTTTTAGTTAACTTTACAGTTTTATATCCGCGCGTTGCTTGTGGAAATATAGTTTAAATAAATTATTACTTCAGATGAACAAAGCTATTATATATAAGCTTAGGCTTTAACTAGGCAAGGAATCTTCTATAATCTTTTTATTGAGTTTAATTTGAACAGCTGGCAATGTTGTTTTTTATTATAAAGTTAATAATGTTTTGATGTCATCTAGATGAATGAGAAAATTATAAAATAGATTTGAAAAATGTAATTTGTTACAAAACATTAATATGATAAAAAATTAACCCTAGAAGTAAAATAAACATTAAAATTTCAAGAAAATCGCTGCGGGTTTCATTATATTAACGTTAAATAGTAAAACAACGAACTGAGCTTAATAATGTGAGCTCGTATGAATAATTAACTTTAAAAATATCTGTGCGTACCGTATTTTGAATATAAAATTAAATATAAAATTTTAAAGTAAATAAGAAATGTATTCTTTTTATATGTTATGTTATTAATGTAACTAACTCTTGACAGTTAAAAAAACACAAGTAGTTTGTAACATAAGATTTTATTCTTTAAGTACAAAAACGCTCGCAGTTTCGCAAAGCACAGGTACAAACTTTATACAGTAATATTTTTTTTAGATTTTTCTATGACTTTTATACAAAAAAGATCTTGCAGAGCGGAAGCCGGGGTCCGAGGTAGAGTTCAGTGCCATCCGTGAGCTCCATGGCCTTCCCAGGGTCCTTCGGGCGCGGCCGCTGCTGCCTGAGCGGCGGCAGCATACTGGTGGAGATGAGCCGACCTCGCGTGTTGGACCTCAGGGGTGTCTACAACGTATTGGCCGTCATGGGTGAGTTGGATGTTGGCTTGAGGACCGGTCCATTTGCCGTATCCGCCGGCGTAGCCAGCTCCGTATCCAGCACCGACACCAGCACCGTAACCAGCGCCGTATCCGGCTCCGATGCCAGCGTAGGCACCGTGAGCGGCCTTAGCGGCGGCGGCGGAGTGGGCGGCGATGTGAGCGGCCTTCAGGTGGGCGACCTCAGGAGTGTCAATGACGCGACCATCGTGAGCGAGAGGAGCAGGGCCGTATTTGGCGAGTCCTGTATGTGAATAATGGATTAGATTATGCTCTGTAATACTATGAAGGTATGATTACCCTACAGATATGTATTAATCGTTTCTTACCAGCACCAGGTGCGCCATAATGTCCAGCGTCTCCGTAAACTGGTCCTGCGATGTATCCAGCGGACGGCGCCCACGCTCCATGTGCGGTGCTAGCCTGGGCATGTGCAGCTAAATGGGCGGCTTTAGCGTGAGCCACCTCGGGTGTGTCGAGCACATATTTACCGTCATGGCTCAGTTGGATGGGTGCTGGTGGGCCGGCATAGTATGAAGCATGAGCCAGGCAGAGGGAAGCGGCAAGAATGATCTGTTAAGGAAAAGTTTATCAATATACTACGTACTATCCTTTACACTATACAGTATAGTTATCTCAACAAAGATATATTATTACAACAAAATTTAAAGTATTAAATTTATATCTTAATTGTTACGAATGTAATAATTAACTTCTAAATTGTCTTTTATAATATTTATAGTTCACCAAGTACAGTATTACATAATAAGTAACTGAAATATATCCTTTGATTTAAGAAAGTAGTCGTAAAATATTAGGCACGGTCGCGGAAAACAGCTAGTTAAAAATAAAAGCAGTAATCAAAACGTTTCATGCTTCTTGGACTATCTTCCACGGTCCGTTACGCTCGGATAAATTAAATCTAATAACCGCCCCACTATAAGTACACTCGATTGTACAACGTGTATGAAACAAAATTGCGAACTGCTGTAAAAACTGATTAATCAATCCCTCGGAATCTTATCAAAGTTGGAAATTTAGATTTACATTATTAAAGCAGTTACAAAATGTCTTAGGTAAATGTTTAATTGCTCTCTTTGTTCGTGTTATGATTTCATAAGTCGAATTAATGCTGTGTGAATGAGGGAGCATGAAAAAATTAAACGCCTTTATGTGAATAAAACGTATGATTTGTATTGATGTATATAATTATATCTTGTTTTTATCACCTCATTAATGTTATTTCATGATTTTATAGGAATGCCATCAAAAGTGAAAAAATAAAACATTTTTATTCCATGATTCGCCAAATGCATTGTTAATCGGAAAAAAATATACCAGTGGATCTCGACTATAAATAGTTTTATATAATAATAATAATATGATTTTTTACATGAAATAATTTCAATGACTATAAATAATACCAATTAGGAACCAGAACACTAAAACATAATTAGTCAATACTCAATATAAACCCTCTAGGCGATAATCAATTCGGTATTTCTCTATAAATCTAAATCAATACAAGGATCGGACAATTTACAACACTATTAGCCAACACAGATACATTAACTTGTATACTGTGGTTTATTATTATTGAGAACAATATCGGTTTCCAAAGTGTAAACTCAATTTCATTTTACGGCGATAACCACAAAAACTTATTGAATTTTAGATTTCCAAAGGTGAAAGAATCAAAAAAGGAAAAATATATAATGAAAAGTATACGTATTAGTTTCACATAAGGAAAGTGACGTTTTTAACAGAAAATACGCAAAAGCTTAAATATTATAAAACAGCTGACAATTTTTTATTTATAAATTAAGTGTAGCTAACATTAATACATACAATTGAATTGAGAAGAAAGTTTGTCTTCTAGTCTATTTTTCATTTTATTATAAAAAGATAAAATACCTTTTCTATATAAAATTGTGAGCAACGAAATGGCTTTAAGATGCTAGTGTTTTCATTCTAATAACGTGATGAAAGCCTGACAACTGCCGAAGTTTAAAATTTGAGTTACTCACGTAATTTAATTTTTATAAAGAATATATTCGATTATTTTCCTTTTTTAAGCATATGTTTAGCAAAATATAAAAAGTACTTTATAGTAAAACATTATTTGAACATAAAACAATAATTTCCTACGTCTAGGTCAGTTTGATATTAGGAGCGGCTCTAGTGGGAAAATATACTTTGATATTAAAATCTAACCAATTCGATTTCAATAACACGTTCACAAATGAAGGAATTTAGCGTTCGAACTAAAATTATGGCAACCTTTTTGAGTGACGGGTTGTTTTGTGCTGGGAACTTAATAGCTTCCAGCTGAAATTATACACGTCAGTTGTGTTTTAATGGAGGCGGTAATGGTATTGTTCTTGCAATAACAAAATAAGGTTCTACAGTGCACCTATAATTTGAGGGCGTGGTGCTCATATCGGCTTTGCATTCTATTGCAAGTGTTTTGCAATAGGAATTATCATTTTGTGAACTGGTGCACAACTGCATTGCAAAAGAAAGGAAGCGGTCCGCGAGGAAGTGTCATGGCGACAAGGTCAAAATAATTTCGCTAAGTCACTGTTGCAACGTCACGCATAGACGGATCTAGTGTGTAAAATATGATCGATTTGTGGTCGTTTCGCCTTGTTCCGAATAGAAAGCTGTGAACGTGAATAATATCGACTTTTTTATCGATTTATTGCTCGAGATTTAAATTAGTTTTTTACTTTTTATTTACATATAACACGCAACTTGATTTCGTTATTTTAATAGTTAAAATAATATGGCTTCATACATTACTGCCCACTTAGCGTGAAGACGCCGCGCCCGCCCTAAGCTTATTGTGTAACGCAAACGAGCTGAGTTAACCAAATAAATTTAACCCGTTTATAAAGGTGTAGCAATAATATATTTATTATTAAAACGTTTTAGTAAATAAATAATATTCATGCTTATTAATCATGATTTACACTTGCAAATGCGAAAAAAACAAAATTTTATATTAAAATAGACCATAACCCAAATCGCCAAAATATTATTATTATATTATTTTACCCACTGTATATTATGGTATTATTATTTAAATATAATAAAGTTAATATTTTACTACCTTACAAATTACTTCTATAACATAAATTTATATTATTCAACATTAATTTTGACGTTATGGAGATTAACCGTCTGATTTGTGGAAGTAGTATAATTCATTCTAGTTAAATTCCGTTTGTTAAATTGAAATTCTCATGTTATTTCTATTGTGAATGTACGGATTAAAATAAAATTATGAATATGACTTGAAATAAATCAGGAAAATCTCAAGTCATCTTGAATGCGGTAGCGTTTGGTTGTTACAGTTACCGTTTTAATATTGAAGCGATAAGCTAGACAAGATGAGCTTAAAACACATAAGAGTGTTTTTGATATAAATATATCAACATATATGAGATGAAAATAAATAAGCATAGATATAACTAATATATAATGTTATATATGTATGTATATACAAATCTACTCACCATCGACTGCATGATGTATTAAAACTATAAGAGATCTCAAACGAACTGACTTAGCGCTGCTGTTACCAGTACTCGCTCAGTGAATTTCGCCTAAGCGTGTTCACACAACCACCTTTGAAGTTGGAATGATTCTGTATCAGAACGGCTGCCCTTATATATGTAAAACCCCGCTTGATATTCGTAATTGGAAACAATTAACCGGCAAGTGCAATGCCGACTCATTAATTGATGGCCGTCTTACGGTTAAGGGATGAATCTTAAAGCTTTGTTACGATTTTATAAGGAACTTTTTCGTGTGTTTTCCTTTTAAATTTTCACAATATGAAATAGTTTTCCTTTAACTCTTCAATAGACAATAGTTTGTAAGTATTACTAACTCGTTGTACATTTTATATGATTTTATGATTTTATTCTTTAAAAAAACTAATTAATAAAAATGTTGAAAACGTCGTAATAGTGATTTAGAAAAAAAAGTTTAAAAATCGTTTATCGGATAAATACTTTATTTAATTCATAATATTAATAAAAATCTATGAGCATATATTTCATTTCCATACTCTAAAATTATAAGTAATACATCCAAATCATTATAATAAGCATTTAATCTAGATATTTCGACAGCATTATGTTTCCTCAATGAAATTATTTGAAGTAAAGGGCTCGGTCAACGAACAAAGAATGACTTTTATGAGCACATAGGCTCTTTGGCATTCCTATTTTGACCGAGGCATTAAAAATATACATTCATTTAATATTTCTATATTAAATATATAATATTAGAGATTCATTTTCTAGAATAACTGAGCGAAAGGAAATCTTATAACAAGCTTTAAAATACAATTGTTATAAATTAAATTAGCGTCACAAATATTCATAAATATTTGCTGGCTTAACTTAAAAAAATCATATAGGATCTCGGAAAAGGAACTAGATCAGTTTTGACCCTCAGACAGTAACAGCTTGCATTAACTAGTATGTAATAAAAATATTAATTTATTTACATATTGAAACTAGAGAACATCATACATAACATAGCGAGTTATGGACCACTGAAGTACATGATATTAATTAAATAATTTAGCAATATAATGTTAATTAAATTTTAATTAAATTACTTTTATCTGGTTCGTTCTCTTCAGTTTTGTAAAGCGGTAGACCTTAGCAATTATATCAGTTCTCTCATTAACTTGATTGACAAGGTCGAGAAACTTAGTTTTCTTCTACAATAGATCTTACGTGTGTTAGAGATTCTTAAATATATGTTTGTTAATCATAAAAAATCCTTTTGTTTCAAATACAAAGATTGTACGAAATTTGTACTAGGAATATATTTTGCGTTCTTAATTTATCTACAGTTATCAGATGACTATAATCAATGATATAATTAAATTGATTAACAGTAAAATTTAACACTTAATAAACGCAATAAAATTCATTACGTTATACATGTAAAATATATAAAAAATGATATAAAAATTCCTCTCAGTATTGTAAGAATTCAAAGTAATAACAAAGGAATGCCTTTGATGAAAAATTTATAAAAGACAATGACTTATACCTAATGAAAAAGTTTTGAAAATCATTCCTTTAAATGACTATTAATATGACGAAATTTAAATATTCAACATTTTACAAAATAAAATATTTTAAATTAAATAAATATATTTCCTGTTATTCATAATAATATGTTTAAAAAATGAAATAAAAAAATATCAGGTCTATATTATTTAAAACACGGCAAAAAATATATACTTCTTCATAAGTGAAATAAGTTATAGGCGCCAGTATTTAAAAAAAATAAAAACATTATTAACTAAAACTTTTCTTTTAGTCTTGTTTAAAAATAATTTTAATATAATATTTTTTGAAGCCTTTATACTAGAAATATGAAACAAGTCATGTTAAACTGTAAAAGTGTAGAATATAGGTTTGACTTCGACCTTAAGGGTCCCTTCCAAGAACAAAAGAAATCGATGCTTTATGCCACAATGAGTCCTTTGTCTAGAAAAGTATAATATAGCAGAATTGTCTTCAAAATATATCTTGTTAACTTCAACTGTTTTAAAACTTTACTATTTACTACTATTTTTATTTAAACTCTTTAATTTTTAATTGGACATTTAACTGGCGTTTCCTTTTAGACTAATCAATATGCATTCATTATAAGGTATCGGCCATCTTAATAAAAAATATTTTTTTTTGTTCATCCTTAAATGTCAGTGATCCAGATAAAAAAGAATCTAGTCTGGCCTTGGCTGTTACAGGTTGAATATCCTAGGATCAACATTGGATTTATTCAAGCGTTTAAGGAAGAATGAAGCCTTCATGCTACAAAAACCTCTTTCGAGTACTATACATATTTTTTCACTATGATACACGATATTTCTGAACGCTGCGTAAAAAAAGTTCCTTTTTTATGTTTATTGTAAAAATCGTTGAAGGCTGCGATTGATATATGTTTAAGGGAAATTTCAATTGTGTTGATATGTGTCTCAAATGACTACGAGCATATAAATAGTTACTGAAGTTGAAATTAAAAATTTGCATTACGGAAAGCGTTTTAAGTAGTCTAATAAAAGAATTAAATAAAAGACTATCAGATGCACCATCCATATGAGTTTAAGTTGGATACAATTTGACAATTTAGGAAAATATATGGAGGTGATTCTTTTATAAATAAAAGTAGTTTTTCAAAGCAGACACCAGTTACTTGAAAGACATTCTAGAATGAATATGGCTTCTTAAATATCTCGTAAATCTGTATTCATGCTTTGTATGACATTTGTGATCATTTAGATCATCCATATTTTTAAAATCTCCTTTATTCTTACTAAAATAATTTTGAGAACTAAAGTAAATCTTTCATCGTCCGATTAACCAGTAGCTACCAACGAGTATAACAGCTGTAACAAACTTAATAGATTCAAATTACACAGCAATTATTACCATAATCGCGATAATGGAACATTTCGGTAATCTTTATCGGTTTGGAGATTAATATTTCACGGTAATATTAAAGACTATATTATTTTTCGAATCATTCAACAATATATTTGCTTATAAAACATATATTTATATAATATAAATGATTATAATTAAGTTTATTTCAACTTTTTGTCTCACTTGCATCGCAAGGCAGCACGTAATCCGAGTAATTTCATAGATTGACGTTTTTAGGTTGGTTTGATATCCGTTAAATAGTATTTAGAAACGCAATTGTTGTCCATTCGGGTGATTTCTTGATTGAATTGTTAAAATTCTTAGCTCGATAATATCGTTATATGAATGATATAAATGTTACCGCTATAATTGATTTGTTCAAAACATTTAGCATTACATCAAAGAGAAAATTCCGTTTTAAGTTTTGATTATTAATAAATTTAGTTCGGTAACATAAAATTACTAACTAACCAAGATTGTAATGTCTTAAATTCATTGTTTTTCTCGTAATATTAAAAAGGCGTAGCTCATTACAATCACCATAAAAATACCAATTACTTGTGTTACAATTATCTGTATTCAATAATATGAAAATTATGACCAAAGATTGATACTCAAGCTTTCTAGAATGATCCGACAGAATGACTCGTACGCCTCACCCTATTCTTACGACGAGGAAGTGTGACTAAAATTGTATGAATGTTATATTTTAATAGCCACGTTTTAAAACTAGTTCAATGTTACTAATATACCATTTTGTCTTAATTACCCTTTTTTATTTTAACATAATTATATTTGTGGTAAATTTTAATGCAAAAATGTGGCACTTTAAAAATATATTCTTAATAGTGACATACATATATGTCAAAGTCTTAAATCTGTTTGTTAAATACCATTATGTTTTTCGGTGTAGCCATGCTTTAGACGGGATCCTAATAAATGTTACATATAAACCTTTGATTGTATACAAAAGAACATTTGAATAAAAAGTTATGAGTAATTAAAATAAATTACAAAACATTAAGAGCATTCTAATTTAACATTCTAGATATTAATGCTATTTTATGTTCCTCTATCTATAAACTATTGATGAAGACTATGAATCCTTCTTAATATATCAAGAGATAGCCTCTTTTTAATCTCAAGCTACCATATTCGGATCAAACACTTAAAGCTGAAATTACATATACATAACGGAAATCGTCAACCATGTGGCATGTAACATATCATACGTCAATTCTTTTTAATAACAAATTCATTTTAAATACACATACTTTAAATATCAAAACGTAATACTGGCATTAAAATATTGATTTATATCAAGCAAATTCACACAAAAAGGTCGCGCCTTGCCCAGTCTATTAGACGTTTTAAAATGGGTTGGTCACATGTAAATAAAATGTGCAATTTATATCACAGGGTGTCCTTCCAACAAAACACTTCATTACGAATTAACATAAGCGAGCTTTTAATTGAATTAAGCGATTAATTTTATCATTAATTGCATTATCACAACCATTTGCTTTATATCTGTAACATAGTATTACCTTCGAGCTGTAGTAACGTATCGTAATAAGAATAGATATTAAATAATTATAAATATTACTCTATTATACAGATAATAAATAGAATTGGTAACTGAAGTTATTATCCAATTAAAATAACTATAACAACAATATTTTTCCTTAAACTATATCTGAACTTTTTAAATTATTTAATATTATGTTATAGAATGTTAATAAGACGAATTTCATTTTCTTAAACAGTGTCATATATTTATCATGGTCTTGAAAAATTCAAAGTAATATTTTTTGTGATATCCTTGTTATTTTCTGTTCTGGACAAATTTGATGACCTCGAGTATCAGAGTTCAGAGCTTAGATAATTAAACTGGCTTCCGTTTTGACTACGGTTTATTACCTTATGTGAATTCCTTTAAGATTAATCTGAAGCAACTAGCTTTCGAATTATTAATTGTTTTCTTTATATATAAATATATGCATTTATCCGCGATATTTCATACATAGAATGAATTTTAAATACATGAACATGTTGTGCTTTTATCGTTCTGT